AAAAATACCCGTGGTTAGTCCTTTGCGAGTGCATGAAAATTACAAAATTTCAAGCTTCTAGTTTTACTGAAATTTAAAAAAAAAAACTCAATTTTAGTCACCACCTTTTAAGGGTGATATCTCGGTAAGGGGTGGGCTGAGGAAATTTTGTTATAGGAAAGACACATTTCATACCAGCAATCACCTCCTAAATTTTGTCGCATGAATTTAGAAACACCTTGTATGTTAGATTTACATAATATACATATATCTATCTATTTATTTATCTATCTATCTTATATATACAGGGTGTAACTAAATAAGTGTAAAACATTTAAGGGGGTGATTCCTCATCGAAAAAAAGATTCTTTCACATAAAGAAACTTCATTGGAGCATCCCTTGTTAAGATACAGCCCCTTAAAGGGGGTACATCAAATTTGTTTAACAATTTTTTTCACAAGCACTAAACAAGTTACAATATTGAAATTAACCTGACATTTTCTACTACCAAAAAGACACTTAGCCAGTAATTTATTTGGTTTACCCCATGTCTGTATGGGGTGGAAAAACAACCCCTAAAATTTCGTTCCAACGTAACTTTTTGCCTTATTATTTGTTTACCATTTAAAAATGTATTTCCGATAGCCTGTTTCATTCTAAACAAAAAATGTCTCTTGAATTTTTTGCCCAAACTAAACCAGTTCGCAGCAAAAAATTATTTTACGAACAAGATAGATATCGCCATAAAACGAAAATACGAAACTAATTTATCTAGTAGGCCGCTATTAGCGATACTGACAATTACATTGAAATCAAGCTGTCAGTTTGTAAATTTTTGTAATTTGTTTAGTGCCCCCTTAAATGTTTTACACTTATTTAGTTACACCCTGTATATATATAAAATTATTTGTCCTGACTGACCTTTCAACGTACAGCCAATACTACTGAGCCTAGAAAGCTGAAATTTGAAACAGGTTTATTTTATAACGTAAGCATCCGCTAAGAAAGGATTTTTGGAAAGGACCAGGCAGCCGGCTTATGGAGAAATGGGTCCCGGTTAATATGCCTGAATTTTTGGTATGTTAAAGATATCGACTTCCTGAACAATAGTGTCAATGGGCACAACTCAATCCTATGGCCAGTTTTCAACATACAGGGTGATAAAGTTGAAAAATGGCCATTTTTTAAAATGTATTAAAATGTAATTTTCTCAATATATTAAGGATTTTTTTGCTGTAATAGTATTCTGATAACATCAAATAATATTTCTTTTTGTAGAAAAAGTATTATTTGATACAGGGTGATTTTCAAAAAAATATATTGATGCTGTGTATTATACTTTACAGTGGGAATATGAAAAAATTAATATTTGGTCTGAATTAACTTTAGTTGGACTTATTATAAGAAGGTATGAAAAGATTTTATACAGGGTGAGTCAAAAAGTTGATCGACTCTGTAAGTTATTTTTAATACAATTTTATATATTTTGTAATACAAGTCAGTAGTCGACATTGAACCATTTTCAAAAATATATAATTTATAAATTAAATACAGGGCTATTCAAAAGGTATATAAGGTAGAAAATTACGAAAATTAATTTTTTCTGCGAATCACCCTGTAATTTAATATTTCCTCCGTTAATTTCTCTAATTTTTTTTATTGTCTTTGATTTGAGTTTGTTAGTCTCCTATAGAAGTTTTGCGAAGTTATTATGATCAGTTTTTTTATATCGACTTTGTGATGACAAGCCTGTCACAATTTATACGCTTATACCTGAGCTCATAAATATGTTTTTATTTTATTTAATCATTTAGGATTTATGTCATTCCAACGTTATTTGTTAAAGGAAATATAAATAATATGTAACATATGAACAAACAATGTATTAATATTATTAGTAAGCCAAATATCCGAAGATGCAAATATTATTAGTGAGCCAAATATCCGAAGACGTAAATATTATTATGTTTTTTCATTAGACATAACCCCATCTTATTCATAACTAAACTAGTTGATGCTTGTCGAGAAGGATATTGAAATATAACTTTAAAAAATTATCTGATACACCATGTTTATTTTAAGGCAAAAACTTGTCAAGTATTTTCTTGTTATATTTCCATCTTGTTCAAAAAAAAAAATCGCAACAATTCGTTGAAATTATTTTTGAATTCTTTGATATGGTTTAAATTCGTTTTCTGTAAAATTATCTACCTATAGTTTCACAGTTTAGACCGTGATTGTGATTACTATTAGCAGCTGTTCGAAGACTCTGGAGAAAATAAAGTAGATCATTTCTTACATATCGACGGTTAAGAGAACGTAACCCACCATGCAATATGTTCAAAATAGTCAGGAACAACTAAGAAATAATAAATATCTACACTCAATAGAAAGCCTTCGAAAATTATCATTAGCGTTACATATCATGCGAGTATTGGATTTAGCTGGAAAAAGTACGTTAATTCTGAGACAATATCAAAGAATTCAAAAAATAATTTCAACGAATTGTTGCAATTTTTTTGAACAACATGGAAACATAACAAGAAAATACTTGACAAGTTTTTTTCTAAAAATTAAACATGGTGTATCAGATAATTTTTTAAAGTTATATTTCAATATCCTTCTCGACAAGCATCAACTAGTTTAGTTATGAATAAGATGGGGTTATGTCTAATGAAAAAACATAATAATATTTGCGTCTTCGGATATTTGGCTCACTAATATTTGCATCTGCGGATATCTGGCTTACTAATAATATTAATACATTGTTTGTTTATAGGTTACATGTTATTTATATTTCCTTAAATAAATGACATAAATCCTGAATGATTAAATAAAATAAAAACATATTTATGAGCTCAGGTATAAGCGTATACATTGTGACAGGCTTGTCATCACAAAGTCGATATAAAAAAACTGATCATAGTAACTTCTATAGCGGACTAACAAACTCAAATCAAAGACAATAAGAAAAAATTAGAGAAATTAACGGAGGAAATATTAAATTACAGGGTAATTCGCAGAAAAAATCAATTTTCGTAATTTTCTACCTTATATACCCTTTGAATCACCCTGTATTTAATTCATTAATTATATATTTTTGAAAATGGTTCAATGTCGACTACTGACTTGTATTACAAAATATAAAAAATTGTATTAAAAATAACTTGAAGAGTCGATCACCTGTTTACTCACCCTGTATAAAATGTTTTCATACCTTCTTATAATAAGTCCAACTAAAGTTAATTCAGACCATATATTAATATTTTCATATTCCACTGTAAAGTAGAATACACAGCATCAATATTTTTTTTGGTGATTTTTGAATCACCCTGTATCAAATAATACTTTTTCTACACAAAGCAATATTATTTGATGTTATCAGCATACTATTACAGCAAAAAATCCTTAATATATTGAGAAAATTACATTTTAATACGTTTTAAAAAATGGCCATTTTTCAACTTCATCACCCTGTATGTTGGAAATTGGCCATAGGATTGAGTTGTGCCCATGGACAGTATTGTTCAGGAAGTCGATATCTTTAACATACCAAAAACTCAGGCATATTAACCGGAACCCATTTCTCCATAAGCCGACTGCCTGGTTCTTTTACCTCTTTAAGGTGTGAAAGGGAGCTTTTAATGAAATTATGTTCTTTTAAGTTAGAAACATGAAAATTGGAATTGCAGCTACTGACTACAAATTATTAATGACGTGTTTCAGGGTTTTTGGATTTTTACATTTTAAGGGGGGGAATGGGGGGTGAAAATTTATTTGGGAGTATCCATGTTTTTGGTTCTCTTTAAAATTAGAAACATGAAAATTGGAATTGCAGCTACTGAGTACAAATTAATAATGACGTGTTTCAGGATTTTTGGATTTTCACCTTTAAGGGGGAGAAATGGGGGGTGAAAATTTATTTGGGAGTATCCATACTTTTGGTTCTCTTTAAAGTTAGAAACAGGAAAATTGGAATTGCAGCTACTGAGTACAAATTAATAATGACGTGTTTCAGAGTTTTTGGATTTTCACATTTAAGGGGGGGGGGAACCAGGGATAAAAGTTTATTTCAAAGTATCGATTTTTTTAAAGGTAGGAACTTGAAAATTGTAGGTTCTCTTCATAAATAAATAACAAAGTCTTTTAGGGTTTTTGCATTTTCACATTTTAAGGGGGGAAGGGGGGGTGAAAGTTTGTTTGAAAGTATGTATATTTTCTTTTGTTCCTAAAAGTTTAAAACATGAAAATTTGAAATACAGCTACTGCTCAAAATAAATAATGATTTGTTTCATGGTTTTTGGATTTTCACATTTTAAGGGGGGAAACGGAGAGTAAAAATTTGTATAGAAGTATCAATCATAAATAAATAATGACGTGCCTTATATAAAAACAAATAAAAATAAATAAAAAAATATTAATAATTAATAGAATTTATTAATAAATTTTAATAAAAATTAATAAAAATTTTTAAAAATTATAAAAAATTATTAATTATCAAAAATTATTAAAAATTAAATTAATAACAATTAATAAAAATTAATAAAATTTATTAAAAATAATAAAAATTAATAAAATCATTCATTTTTTTAAATTATAAACACGACACCACTCGTGCAAAGCCGCGGGCAAAAGCTAGTTTTTTTATAAGCCTATGTATTTTGTAAATGGTTTAAACCGTATGATAAATAAATACATAATCACGCCCACAGCGACCTTATAATTAATCGGAAGGTACTAGAAACGAGACGACTGAGAACTTCGAGGAAGTACCTGAATTCTTGCATACTAGAAGCAAAACGATTGATAAATTCGAGGAAGTACAGGAATTATTGCAATATTTTCCGGTCGTCGTCAATTCAATAACATATTAGTGTTCTAGGGTTAAGATCTAGAGTGTTAGCAGTATTATTGATATTTATACACACTGTCTCAGAAATTAATATTTTCAGGACAGGTTTTTCAAAAATATATATAAATTTTTTATTTAAGTAATAATATATTTTTTGTTTTTCTATAGTGATCCAAGCTTTGGTTGCTCTTGTGAATGAACCGGAACCAGAACACCCTCTGCGTGGAGACTTAGCTGAAGAATATCTCAAGGACAAGAAAAAATTTACGAAGAATGCAGAAGATTATACGAAAAAACACAGTGAAAAGAGACCAGCAGATTAAATGAAATTAAACACTAGACAAACATCATTGTTTGAAATTGACATTCAATTCTCAAAATTTCAAATTGTGCTCTCAATAAACAAACATATTATTTTTTTGGATAAATTCATTGTTCCAATAGTACTGGAAATTTCCTTACTTCTGGGACATCCTGAGTTTATGCAACCCCTAATGTTATTTATGTAAAATAAGTTGGTTATGACTTCTCACTTTTTTAATTAAAATAACTTTCAAAAGAAAGTTCCACCTTTACTCAACAATATGTACATATTTTTTCCAACTGGTATCAACACTTAGATTCCTAGACTATTACAAGTGATATTTTTGCAGGAGAAAACTTGTACTTTCAATAATATGTTTGTTTTTTTTTTAATATTTTGGGCGCTATAATATTTTTTTATATATTCAATAGGTATGTCATTTTCACTCAGTGGATTGAATTTGCATTTTTCATTTTACACTTAACTATTCATTATGAAAATTAAGGTGTTTATTTATTTGATAACTAATGTTTTATTTTTTGCGCCAACAGGTTTTTAGTGTACAAAAGCATAGAAATTAATATTTCTATCTAAAATAAAACTTTTGCATTGTAATATTTAAATATATTAAAAAATATTTCGAAAACAAATTTGTAGTTTGTTTTATGTATATTGCATTGAAAAAGTGGAAGTTTTTTGAACTTATATGTTTGGCTTAGACTTTTAGATACTGACTCGAATTCGAATCACTTGGGCTGGGATTTTTCTAATTAATAACTAATTCTAAATCCCCATTCGAGCATTCACTAATGCGTTCTATTGTGTGCTAATCCTAGAGTGGTGCAGTGAATCGTAACAAAGTTACATAAAACACAAGGCAAGCTGTCACTGATTTATAAAAAAATGGATGCGTGGAATTTACTTAGATAAAAGAGACCGGAGATGTAACATTGCACATCGCGCACGTTGTCTATAGGCCTTTTCATCACAATTTTTTTTTGTGCGCATGCGTCAGTATCAGCCATCTTTTTCGTACTGTTTTTTGTTAACAAGCATGTTAAAATGTCCACGTGAAAAAAATTATAATCGATAAATATTAATTTTAAGTATATTCGTTTAAAAAAATGGGATAAAAAAAGTAAAGTAATAAGTGTCTTAATTGAAAAATCAATTTTTGGAATAAATTAATTAATTTATCAATACGGAAACGATAAACTAAACGGTATTGTTAGTATGTAAAAGTGACACACTGTATAAATTAATATTTTATAAAAAAACTTGCCTGCAATATCGTAAAAAACTATAAAATTAGGCAAAATACATATTAAAACAAGTTCAAAATGAGCATTATGAGTGAAAAAATGTGGTCGAAGTGACAAAGGTTTTCGATCGATTGATGGATGATGTTAGGTACTAAAGATACTTATAAGGTGAGTTCGGGCTGCGCACACCAGAGTTGAGTGCAGTAAATAGGCGTAGACGGAGTGGGCATATGGTTTTACTCCTTTTACTCTCAGAGTTCAATGTCAGTTGTCAATGTAACATACTAATACTTAAAATCTAATCGTACTTATCAGTAACAACCGTATAAGTTTCTTCCATATTAATGGTATGCACGGGAACCAAATAAAAACATTTTCACTTAAGAATTGGTCACAATTATCTTAGTATCGATTTAAAACACCTTATGCGCATGCTCGATCCACACTCCACGATCTCCGAACGATCAAAAAGGAACTTTTATTTTAACTCCTTCCGTTCCCGAACGCCTTAGGTACTTTAGGAGTGAATATAGTGAAAAGAGTGCGTAGCCCGAACTCACCTATATTTGTTCACTACCTTTTTATGGAGAAAGTGGTTCAACAGAAGAAAATCCTTGTCTGGTATAACACAATATTTTTAATATTAAATACTACTTCCGTATACACAGTTTTATATTATTAAAAATGTCATATTGATCCATAAAATTTTAAATAATTATCTTATTAATTAATTTTACTCGTGATTAACTTTCATGTTAATGTGTTTTTGAAAATATTAATAGTTGCTTGGCATAATTAATTAGAATAGAGTTATAATTTTTATTTGTTTTTATTAATTTTTTACACAGTTAACATTGAAACTCAACCTCTCAATCACACTTTTTTCCTTATTCCGAACGTCCACGTCACTGCAAGAACCTTTTTAATTGCTCAAAACTATGTGCTTCCACAGAGTTATAAAAATGTAAATCACCATCAACGATTTTTTCTAATGATTGATTTGTATATAGAGAAAATATTGCTTTTCCAGCCATTGTTGATCAAAACAGTACGAAACTTTGGAATTGGCGCTATTTCAACATGGCAGCGCTGCGCTTGCGCTCATCACATGATGAAAAGGCCTATTCCAACCCTAAGTAACCCACCAATTTAAAATCATTGTGTTCACGACGCCACCCGAATTGCTCCGAAATTTCTATTATATGCTTGTCTCCGCGCGAGTAAATCATTTATGGACCGCCGTTTTTTGAATTATTTGTTGGTATTCAATTTCAAGTTGAAAATGCCACGATGTATGGTGAAAAATTGTATATACAAATAATATAAGTGTCAATGTTATGAAAAATAAGAAATATATTCGTTTTCAGCGGTAAATATTTGTTGACGTTTTGACATAAAGTCGCCTTGATTCTTTGAGCTGAATACTTTAGATCCGCATTAAGGGGTTTCAATAAATATTAAGCATCAAATACATAATATTTCAGAAAATAGATTTCATAATACATTAATTTACAAAAGAGTAAAATTTTAAACATTTAATCTAAATAAGAAGTAAATAGGCATTGTTACTAACGAAATTTTGTTTTTAAAAAGTAGTTTTATAAGAATATTTACTAAAGGTGGTTTTTATCCCTTTATTAGGTATTTTTACAAGAATATTAGATGAAATACAGGTTACCTACTTAAAATTTCAAGGTTCATTTTATTTTCGGTTAAATCGGAAGTGACATTTGATTCTTAAGTCTTAAAACAAAGTAAAACGCGCAATATGATCTAGTATAAGCAAAAAATACTAAAGTTACGGAAATTAGTCATATTATTAGTAAAATGTTACATTATAAACCCCAAAACAACTCGAAAAAAAATCTTCGTTTACTAAAAAAATCTAAATTCTAGCAATATTTATTATACAATCGAATGCGGTTTCAAAGTTAACAGGATCAATAAATCCGAATCTCTAAATTTCGGAGCTAAATGCTCGGATAAAAGCATGCGACCGATAGGAGTTACAAAAATAATCGATTTATCGTTTTCGTGAAAATCGATTTATCCGTTATAATTAATTGATTATTTTTGATTAATCGAACATTTTCAATAAATTGTTTTCGTTTTTTTAGGTAATGGAATAATCGATTATAAAGGGATAACAAAATCGTTTTTTTTTAGAAAAATGGATTTATTGTTTAATCGACTTTTTAAATTAATCGATTATTTTCGATTTACCGAATATTTTCGATTAATCGATTATTTTAGATTTTTCAAAGATTATCGAATAATTTGTTTCAATGGAAATATGAAAAAAAAATTGATTATTTAAAAATAATCGATTATTTAAAATAAACGATAATTCGTTTATTATTTTTTGTAAACACTGATTTATCGGTTAATTGGCTTTTTAATTAATCTATTATTTTTGATTTTTCAAAGATAATCAAGTAGTCGATTTTAAAGGAAATACGAACAAAAATAGATTGAAAATAATCGATTATTATTAATAATCAATAATTTATTTCGATAATCACCCACTCCTAGCGACCAAATGACTTTTAATATGTTTAAATTTTAAAATGTTTATCTGGTTTCAGACACATGCATTTTTAGAGTTTTATGTGACTCATCGTCTATATTAATTAATATTCCTAAAGAAACAAGCTTTAATATATCTTTTTCTGGGGTTATAATACAATACAGCATTTTCTCATTTTGACTAATTTTTAATATTATGTGATAGTCTTTATTTTACTTTATTTTAAGACACTTCCGATTTGACCGCAAATAAGATGAACTTTGAAATTTTAAGTAGTTCATCCTGTATTTTATTTAATATTCTTATAACACCACGTTTTAATAAGAGCATTTCATTAGCAACAATGCCTATTTACTTCTTATTTTCATTTAACTAAATTAAATGTTAAAAATTTTGCTCTTTTGTAAATTTACGTAAGTACTATGAAATCTGCTTTCTGAAATATTTTACGCTTAATATTTAAAGAAATCCCTTAATGCGGATCTGAGGTATTCTGCCTAAAGGATCATGGCGACTTCATGTTAAAACGTTAATAAATATTTGTCGCTGAAAACGAATATATTTTTTATATTTCATAACATTGGCACTTATATTATAAGTATATACAATTTTTCACCATACATTCGTGGCATTTTCAACTTGAAATTGAATAAAAACTTTAAATTGCTAATTCAAAAAACGGGGATCCATGATAATTTAATTCATGCGGAAATGATCGCAGAATAGAACGGAGCAATTCGGACGGCGTCGTGGAAACAATGATTTTTAATTGGTGGGTTACTTAAGCTTGGAATTATACCAAAATCCGCCTATAGTGCAGGGAAATCAACTGAAACAGCTCTCCATCAATTAATAAAAGGGGTGGAGAACACACTGGAAAACAAGGAGGTAATGCTGGGAGCATTCTTGGATATCGAGGGTGCATTTGACAATACCTCCGTTGAATGATCATTAACTCTCTCAAACCAGAGGAATTAAGGACACGTGCGTGTCCTGGGTCGACTCTATGTTAAGGGAGAGAACTATACACACAATAACCCTTATGGGAGAGACAATAGCGGCACGGGTAGCGAGAGGATGTCCGCAGGGTGGAGTGCTGTCTCCACTCCTGTGGAACCTTGTAGTGGACGGGGTGCTTAGGGCTTTCAAAGATAAGGGACATAGAACCCTGGGATATGCCGATGATCTAGTGGTCATAGCACAGGGAAAATACAACACTGTAGTAAGAGATCGAATGCAAGAGGCTCTAAATATAGTAACAAAATGGACAGAGCCGGAAGGACTAAACATTAGCCCAAACAAATCTGACATAATTGCATTCACCCACAGGAGGAAATAGGAGGGACTAGGGCCTCTAAACCTAAGAGGTGCAAGCATCCAGCTTAAGTGGGAGGTAAAATATCTCGGGGTTATGATTGACTCGAGACTTACCTGGAACCAGCATCTGGAAAAAACCACAAGGAGAGCGCGGAAACCTCGTTAATGATGGCAAGGTGATCCTTTGGAAAACAATGGGGGTTAAAACCAGACATGGTATATTGGCTTCATAACATGGTAGTGAGACCGATAATAACATACGCAGCTTTGGTGTGGTGGCCAAAGACACAGGAAAGGACAGCAATAACGAGGCTAAGCAAGGTACAAAGACTTGCCTGTCTCGGAATAACGGGGGCAATGAAACCAACCCCACAGCTGCAATGGAAGCACTAATAGGACTCCCACCTCTTCACTATGTCATCCAAAGGGAGGCAAGATTAGGTGCTTACAGATTAGGGAAATCTTGACATTAGGCCAAGTCACTGAGTATCTCAAGGTTAGTGACAGGAGACGGGACAGGAGACATGAGATCAGACCACATAACCAAGAGGTACTCTTTTAATACTCCATTTGAGGTTTTAATACAGGAAAGAGCGGAGATCACCATAAGGGAGCCCAATGCCCAACGACAGGAACAAACCTGGTATACAGACGAGTCTAAGACTGCGGAAGGCACTGGGGTGGAAGTATTCTCCAAAAACCCTGATACTAACCATAGCTATATATGCTATAGGAATACATTCCTCGGTATTTCAGGTCGAGGTATATGCAATTTTGCAATGTGCAAAAACAAACAATGAAAGAGCTGTCGAAAATCAGCATATTCAAATAATGTCAGACAGCCAAGCGGCACTTAAGGACATATCGAGTCAGAAAGTTACGTCGAGGCTGGTATGGGGATGTATCGAAAAACTAAGAACCCTGGCAGACCGAAATAGAGTAAAACTATTTTGGGTGCCAGGTCACCAAGGGATCGAAGGCAAACGAAACGGCTGACGAACTTGCAAAAAGAGGGTCAGAAGAAACACCGGAACCAGACACAAACCCAGGAGTACCAAAAAGTACAGTCCGGGGTTTCATAAACGACTGGATTCGGGAACAACATATTAACTATTGGGGAAGCACCCCAAAACAGGCACATGGAAAAGCCTTCATAGGCAGACCATGTCCCAAAAGAACTGGAGAACTACTCTTTATGAATAGGAACCAGTTGAAAGTGATAACAGGGTTCATGACTGGGCACGCCCCAGTAAAGGGACACTTGAACAAAATTGGCATGTACAATGGGGAATAACTCATGTGCCGACTATGTCACAAGAAACGGCCAAACACATACTGTGCGATTGCGAAGCTCTAGATCGCAAAAGACAGGCTCTTTTTGGACAACCCCAGGTTGATCCAACAACGTATAGAACCCACTCACCCAAGGATCTGTACAAACTTGTACAAGGTACAAAGGTGACAGAGTGGGTGCTATGGGGTAAAACACAATAAGCCAATAGGCTTCAGTGTTATATGGAGACACAGTCAGACGAGCCCAGGAGAAAAAAAAAGGTTGGAATAGACAACATGCGCTGTGTGCAATGTTACATCTCCGTTCTCTTTAATATAATTAAGGTCCAAACAGATGTCTAGTTATTATTTATTATAGGTTTTTCCGCTTATTTTGTACAACCTATTGTATTCCCCTGAAAATGTTTAAAATATGAACTAAATACATACATTTTCCACACACATTTTACCCTAAACATTTTAACGTTACCTCAAATTTTTCCATTACAGTCCAATTTAGAGAAATCACCCATACAGCACAAACACATTTCGGAAATATTTCAAAAATATTACATTGAAACATTTGTAATGTATAAATATTACGAAACATTTCTGAAATTCCGAGAGCCAGGCAGGGCCCCGGGATAATTTTCCAGATGGGGCCCCGCGACAATTTTATAAAAACAAATTAAGCCCTTTTAATATCACATTTCTAAAAAAGGTCCTCAACCAAAAACTTAGATCCTTTTTACTCATGAAATCTCAAAAAAGGTCCTCATCTTGTATTTTAAATAAAACAGCGCTTTTGAGGCGAACTTAAAAAAAAAAATAAAACGTCCTCGCCTTGTTCGCTGCCGGGCTCCCACTTGTGTCCGGGCCGCGGAAATTTGTCCCGGATATCCCCCCTCTCGTCGGCCCTGCTAAAGCGTACAAATGTCCTGTAAATATAATATTTCACAGTAATATTTCTGAAATAAAAATTTGAAATCTTTTAGAAATATTAAATAGAAATATTTTCGAAATTCTAGCTCTTTTTTTCAAAAAAAATTATTAAGACTAAAAAAAATACATTTATAAATATACATGTTTATTTAAAATACACAAAACTCAAACACTGATCCTTAAACAAATAAATAAATCATTTTTAAACATTATTTCATAAAATATAAAGGCGAATCGCTTCATTTCCACAAATTCCTTTAAATGCACTAATCTGAAACAAATAGTTTTTTTTTTAATAAATGCCCCAAGTAAAGAAACATTTACGATTATTACAATCTGATCATTAAGATCAATTAGAAATTTTATTCTAATCTAACTTTAGAGTCTTAATTATTTAGTTACAGTACCGTTGTTAACGTTCCTATAATTAGGGTTGCCACCTGTACTTTTTTTCAAATTAATTGATATTGTGACTTTTCAAACCTGATAATGTCCTTTTTAAAAACTATATTTTAATATTTTTCATGATTAACTTATTCGTAGAGCAGCATATCGGCGTGGCCCACACTTTCCCACAAATGAAACCCAATCCCAGTACTGTTTTTGCGAACGCACTTCATCATTTTACATGTGTGCAGCTGTCGAAAAAAGTTTGGTTATTTATGTTCAATTTTCCAAACAAACCAAACAAATTTCTGCGACTAAAACCAACGTTTTAAGATTATAATATGTAAACTATATTTTTGTTATTTTGCGGTTTTATTGTTATTATTTTGAGGTGATGCAGAGTTCAGACTGTCATGCAGAGATTGAAAATTAAAACCAAATTTAAGGACATTAAAAAAATGGAAAGTTGTTTAAAACTGCTTTAAAATACTCGAAATATGTTTTCCTTAATTTCATATATATATATATATATATATATATATATATATATATATATATATATATATTAAGTGTATCTGCTAGTTCAGCATTTTCTAAGCGAATTTTGTCTGCGATGGCTACCAAATGAGGCGATAAAAGAACTATGTGCTCCACAGACTATATCATCTCGAAGCTTAATAATATACAGGGTGTCCCAAAATTAGACGGTTATATTTTAACAGCGTAATCTACATCCTAAAATAGGAATAAAAGTTCATATAAACATAGGTCCGAAAACGTTTCATTTTCGAGATACAGGGTGTTACAAGTGAAGTACTGATGGCACATGTTTGTAAATATTTTCTAAAATTTCTTTAGTCAGCGGTTTTCCAAATTAAAAAATTTCTGATTTCACACGCCTACTAATTATTATTTACACTTTCGAATAACTTATCATGAAATTTTCAAATGCGTTTTTCTTGAAAATGGTGCGTCCTAGCGAGATGCAACAGAAGTAGCTTTATTATAAAGAAAAGATTGGTTTTCCAAATTGTATAGTCAAAAACGTTAAAAACTGTCTACAAAAAAACTTAGGGCAATTTTACCCTAAGCCCCCCCTAATTTACCCACCTATGAAGATGATCAAAAACTGGAGTTTAGTCCATTAAATAGAGCGTAAAAAGGTTAGCATTTGTACCGAAATTTCACTTAGTTATTTTTAAATGTTTAGAAAATATTTACAAAAGAGTGTCATCAGGATTTCACTTTTAACACCCTGTATCTCGAAAAAGAAACGTTTTTGGACCTATGTTTATATAAACTTTTACTCCTATTTTAGGATGTAGATTATGCTGTTAATATATGACCGTCTAATTTCGGGACACCCTGTATTTTAATTTTTAAGAAAATTGTCATGAATTTTACGACTTTATAAAAAAACAAGGCTGTTTTGGAAGCTGCAAAATCAAACATAAAATACTATTTTTCTACGATCACTATTCAAAGTAGGATTTTGCACTTCGAAATACAACCGCAAAGTTGACGTTTTCCGCGAACTGACATTTTTCTTACTAAGACGACGTATGTTTATTTTGAAAAACATGGATCGAATGTTGCCATATCTTAACCTGTCCAAACCCATGGTAGCCATTTTGTTTGGAATGTCTAATTGAACAAATTTTTCGTTACAATCTGATTTATCCTTGTTTTATTTATTGTAAATCAAATAAATTAGATAATTTAAAACAGACTAATCTTTGTAACTTTGGAATACGATAAGTTTTTTCATGAAGATACAAAAATTAATAATTTATAAAAACTTTATTAAAAAAAAAAAACAAAAATATTATATATAATAAAACTATTTATTGATATTATGGTTCCTCCTAAATTCTTTTTCAAATGCCCCATCATCGGCGTCTGTAAGCATGGCAATTTTCTTTATTATGGTTTTTGTTCGATCTGTTAAAAATGAATCAACTTGTCCCAAAATATTAACCAGTTGTATCATTTTTTCGAAGTTCTTGTTGATTTCTTCGGCTTTCTTTAGTTCATTTTCTTTGTCCAAAACTTGCTTTCGTAGAGTTTCTATTAGCTGGTAAGGAGTTTGAGCAGTTTCTAAGTTGAAATTTGATCTGTTTATGGTGTTGGTGGCTAACTCGCCATTAGTTACAATATAAATCTGTAAATAAAATAAATAACTAAATAAAAAATTAAAATAAACAGAAGGTATTTTCGTTTTTTTCCCTCAATGGGATTTTTTAAGTCCTATAAAACGAGACCTTGAATTTCTTTAGTGAGTTTTGAGTAAGTTAAGAACATTACATTAGAAATGTAACCACAAAATTTTTAAATATACAGGGTAATCTAATTTAAGTATTTTATAATTACCTACAAAATTCAGGGTGTAACTAAATAAGTTTAAAACATTTAAGGGGGTGATTCCTCATCGAAAAAAAGATAGGATCTTTCATATAAAGAAAAGTCATTGGAGCATCCCTTGTTAAGATACAGCCCCTTAAAGGGGGTACATAAAATTTGTTTAACAATTTTTTTCACAAGCACTAAACAAGTTACAATATTGAAATTAACCTGACATTTTCTACTACCAAAAAGACACTTAGCCAGTAATTTATTTGGTTTACCCCATTGTTGTAAGGGGTGGAAAACGCAACCCCTAAAATTTCGTTCCAACGTAACTTTTTGTCTTATTATTTGTTTACCATTTAACATTTTATTTCCGATAGCCTGTTTCATTCTAAACAAAAAATGTCTCTTGAATTTTTTGCCCAAAATAAACCAGTTCGCAGCAAAAAATTATTTTACGAACAAGATAGATATCGCCATAAAACGAAAATACGAAACTAATTTATATGTAATTTATCTAGTAGGCCGCTATTGGCGATACTGACAATTACATTGAAATCAAGCTGTCAGTTTGTAAATTTTTGAAATTGAAGTAATACTAATTGTGTATTGTTGTTCTGTTCGTAATTTGTTACCTTAATAATTCACTTGTTATTAAAATGGCATACACAAATGAGGAAATGACTGATATGCATTACGTTTACGGTCTGTCGCAGGGGAATGGGTTAGAAGCTTCTAGAAGATATGCTGAAATGTATCCTCAACGGCAGCATCCTTCACATAGAATATTTGCCCGACTTCATCAACGATTACAACAAAAGAACGCACGATTGTGTTCGCCATCGAGAAGTAAGAACACCACAGCTTGAGGAAGCACTACTTAATTTTATTGAAGAACAACCTACTACCAGTACTAGAAAGATTGCTTTCCAGCTAAATGTTGATCATATGACGGTATTTCGAATTTTAAAGCTTATACCCTTACCATCTGCAGCGAGTACAGGCACTGTTACCGCGAGACTTTCCGAACCGTCTTGAATTTTGCAATTGAATGCTGGAAATGATTAGAAGAAATCGTGACTTTTTTCTGAAGACGATCGAATTCACAGACGAATGTAGTTTTTCTCGGGACAAGATTATTAATTTTCATAATTACCACATATGGGCTGATGAAAACCCTCACGCTATTGTCGAAACTCACCATCAAGAACACTTTTCTCTTAACGTGTGGGCCGGAGTTATTTGTGATTATTTAATTGGGCCTCATTTTCTACCTCCTCGATTAAATGGTGAGGCATACGTTCAATTTTTAAGAGAAGTGCATCCCGTACTGCTGGAGGAAGTTCCTTTGGGCGTCAGAAGGGATATGTTTTTTATGCATGATGGGGCTCCCGCCCATTTTAGTCAAGTAGCACGTCAGCATTTAACTGAAACATGCAAATCAGTGAATAGGTCGAGGAGGACCACAGAATTGGCCCGCTCGATCCCCGGATCTCAATCCTCTCGATGTCTCTACTTGGGGCCATTTGCAGCATTTGGTTTATCGTACTCCTGTTCGCGATGTAGAGGACTTAAGAAACCGCATCATCGATGCATGCAGGGTAATTAGAGAGACTCCAGGATTATTTGAGCAAATACGTGGCTCAATGCGCCGACGTCTAGACGCATGCGTAATGTCTGAAGGTAGACATTTACTATGATTCCTACATGTTGTATGTTTTGTTATTAATAAATTAGTTTTGATTATTCCCCTTTTTAATCATTTAATGAAGGTAGTAACTACAAAATAACAATAAATCCAGTTCGCATTTATGACGATGTATCTCTGTAGTTGTTCGTAAAATAATTTTTTGCTGCGAACTGGTTTATTTTGGGCAAAAAATTCAAGAGATATTTTTTGTTTAGAATGAAACAGGCTATCGGAAATAAAATGTTAAATGGTAAACAAATAATAAGACAAAAAGTTACGTTGGAACGAAATTTTAGGGGTTGCGTTTTCCACCCCTTACAACCATGGGGTAAACCAAATAAATTACTGGCTATGTGTCTTTTTGGTAGTAGAAAATGACAGGTTAATTTCAATATTGTAACTTGTTTAGTGCTTGTGAAAAAAATTGTTAAAACAAATTTTATGTACCCCCTTTAAGGGGCTGTATCTTAACAAGGGATGCTCCAATGAAGTTTCTTTATATGAAAGATCCTATCTTTTTTTCGATGAGGAATCACCCCTTTAAATATGTTTTACAGTTATTTAGTCACACCCTGTATATATCAGTAGGTAGGTATACATGCACATCATTTTCCGATATTAGTTTTTATACACGGGACAACAAAATTGATAATTTTAAATTTCTTAAGTAGGTGTAATTTAAATATTGAGTACCTTTTTCGTACAAGCAGTACGAACGTATAACTGTTATAAGTTTTATAATTTTTAATGTATTATATCGCTCTACATGTATTTACGCTAGTTCAGTGTGATGTCATTTTGGTTCCACTGACGTTTAATTCTGACCAAACTTTTAACAAAAACATCAGTAAATTTGACATATACGTTTCTACTGTTTTTAGTTTATTTCTAAATATTGTTTACAGGTCATAAAATTAGTTTATAGGTATGTAATTGGTAACTAAACGATTGTATATTTGATACATGTACAAAACGAACAAAACGCACTCAAAAAATTTACTGTCACTTTAATTGTCAGTGGAACCTAATTACATCATCACTAAACTAGCGTATTGTAAAGTACCTACCTGTACAAAATAGGTAGTCAGTATTTAAATTGCACCTATACTGCCCTGCTAAGCTCAAAAGTCCTCTCTGACATGAAAATTTTGAGGTATTAACGTTTTTGTTTTCATATTGTCCACTGTGTAAATATTAGGACGAAACTGAATGTGAGAAGCAAGTGCTTTATTTTGTAGTTAGGACGTTTTTGAATAGGAAAACAGTTGTAGATGCAAGTCTACATCAAATATGCCTTTAACTCAAAAACTGAAATTTTGTCAGATAGGACCTTCCTGCTTAGCAGGGCAGTATAAACATAATAAAATAGGTGATTATCAATTTTATTGTCCCATGTATAAAAAGGTGTCACCAATATCACCAAAAAAATGTGTAGTTACTTAATTATAAAATAGATGTATATTTTAAAATCTTATGGTTACATACCTAATGTAATGTTATTAATTTACTCAAAAGTCACTAAAGAAATGCAAGATCTCGTTTTAATAATTTCAAAACATATTTATTTTTAGTGAATGACTGCAGGGCTCACCCTGTATAAGAAGTACTTATAGCGAAAACTTTTAACCTCAAAATTATAAAGAAGTAGATGTTAACTTGATGAAAAAAATTCTCTGTGGCACAACTGTAGAATTATTTGCAAATTTGCAAAAATATATTGTAGTTTATTTGTGAATCACCCTGTATCTTTAAATATTCTAAACCGTCCCTTTTTATGGACCAAAACTTATATAAAACTTATAGCCTCAGGCATTAAAAACTTGAAAACCTCGAACTTGAACTGCAGTGAATGAGATTTAAAAATTCAAAATAGAATATTTTGTTACTAATATACAGGGTGTTTCAAAAAGGTATATTATAAATTTTTCCTCAGATGGATTCCCAAAAAATAAGTGGATTTGGCTATATTTACCTATATCAAAAACTGGCTCCTAACAAAGTTACAGGGCGTTAAACTAACATTCAAAAAAACGTTTTTTAAGCTATTGCGATTGGCGATTTCAACATCAACTTCGCTGATAAAAAATCGGAGCGGTGACAACTTTTCTTTCGGAAAAATTGAATTTGAAAATGAATAATGATCCACAAGAATCCACAACAAAATATGGGACCACCATTGACGCGGTATTTTCCAGATATTTAGAGGATATCAAGTCTCAAACTTTTGTTTCTTATTTCAGTTACCATAAGCCTATAGTTTCAATGATAAAAATTCCTGAATAACCTATACATGTATTGTAAGATAATAAAAATATTTTAGACAATATTAACTTCTCATTTATTTAATAAAAGAAAAAAATTTGTTTTCTTATCGGTCACCACGCTTAAACTTGAATTAATATCAAAGAAAAAACTTGAATTAATATCAAAGAAAAAACTTGAATTAATATCAAAGAAAAAAATACTGCATAAATAAAATAAATAAATAATTATAATTGCATAAGTTGATAAAAAATGCTATGCAATAGCTTTACCGCGGCAGTCCCCGAGTGCCACACGTATTTTTATTTGTAAAAATTTTGCTGTTAAAATTTTTTTTGCCAGTGCTGTAGATTTGAACGCCCAATATTCTAAGGAGAAAAAATTAAAGCGATCCCCTTAAAAAAAGTTGGGGGTTGGGTACCTTTTAACCCCCCGTATTTTTTTGTCATAAAGAAACTTGCTTTATTGATTTTAAAATAAAAAAAAACTATGAATTTTAATTTTTTTTTATAGCAAAATGAACTTTGTATCTTTCTTAGTTAACGAGCTATTTACAATTTTTTAGCTGAATTTCTAGAGCAATTCATCCATCCTGGACTTAACATAACAACAAAACTAAGAGTAGGTCAGGAGTTATTGTACAAAAAACGCATACAAAAATCAGTGGAGTGCCTAGGGCTGTGCTTAAGCCGCCCCTGCAAAAACTACCTCTTTTATTTATATTTTGGTATTCAAGAAGGAGGAGGACATGTTGAATATTTAATTGTTAATTGTTTAATCAATAAAATATTTTTTTTAATTACTATTAAATTTAATAAATAAATTTCCAAACTAATGTATTTTTATCAGTGGCATGGTGAACCCATAAGGACGGGTGGCACATCATTTTTATGGCGCCAAACCAATATTATAAATACCTTTTTTACAAAAATATAAATAAAAGAGATAGGCTTTGCAGGGGCGGCTCAAGCACAGCCCTAGGCACACCACTGATTTTTATATGCGTTTTTTGTACAATAACTCCTGACCTACTCTTAGTTTTGTTGATATGTTAAGTCCAGGATGGACGAATTACTCTAAAAATTCAGTTAAAAAATTGTAAATAGCTTTTTAACTAAGAAAGGTACAAAGTTCATTTCGCTATAAAAAATATTTAAAAATTCATAGTTCTTTTTGATTTTAAGATCGATAAAGCAAGTTTCTTTATGTCAGAAAAAATATGGGCGGGTTAAAAGGTACCCAACCCCAACTTTTTTTAAGGGAGTCGCTTCATTTTTTTTCTCCTTAGAATATTGGTCCTATAGCAATGGAAAAAAATTGAAAGAAAAAATCGCAACAGCAAACTTTTTAATGTTAGTTTAACGCCCTGTAACTTTGTTAGGAGCCAGTAAATATAGCCAAATCCACTTATTTTTTAGTAATCTATCTGAGGAAGAATTTATGACATACCTTTTGAAACGCCCTGTATAATAGTGACAATAACTTCTGTAATGTTCTTTGTTCAGATATAAAAGTGAATACGGAAAAAAAAAATAAAATCAAGTTACCTGATTTCATATCTTGACATTTAATTTCCTTCAAAATGATTGAGAAAATTACTCCACCTCATATTTACCAGCTAAATTTCAATCTGAATAAAAATGAGGGGGTTAGATTGGTTAAAATATTAAAAAAAATTCTAACTCAAAACCGAAAAATGTTATCAATTTAAAATTTTAAGCAAAAATCAAGCTCTATAAGGGTACAAAGCCTACTGATTTTGAACAAATCTGATTAAAAATAGGGGGTTAAGATGGGTTAAAATTAAAAAAAATTCCTAAATTAAAAACAAAAAACGATATCAACATGAAATATTTAGTAAAATCAAGCTCTATAAGAAGCCTATTGATTCTGAAACAAAATCTGAATAAATTGGGGAGTTAAGGAGAGGGGCTTAAAATATTAAAAAAAATCCTTAAAAACGAAAAACGATATTAAAAATTTAAGGGAAGTTGAAATTAAAAAAAAAAGAATCATAAATCAAAAACGAAAAGCGATATCAATATGAAATTTTAAGTAGAGATTCTTACAAAAATTTGAATAAAAATGGGAGGTTAAGGGGGTTGAAATATTTAAAAATGTCCTAACTTAAAAATGAACAATAATAGTTACTTGAAATTTTTGGCAAAAATCAAGCTCTCTAAAGGGACAAAGCCTATTGATTTAAAAAAAATCTGAATAAAATGGTTAAAATCAAAAACTAAAAGCGATATCAACGTGAAATGTTTAGTAAAAATCAAGCTGTTTCAGGAAATAAATAATTAAAAATGGAGAGATAATAGAGGGTTGAAATATTGAAAAAAATTCTAAATCAAAACGATATAAAATTGAAATCCTTAGGAAAAATCAAGCTTTCTGAAAAAAATCTGATTGAAAATAGGGGTTAAGGGGGATTTGTTAAACTGTAAAGAGTATTATATTATAGACTGCCAATCACTATATCTTTATTCTAGTTAATATATAGATAGGTAAGTAATTATTGTGCAATTATTCATGCCACATGTTCCACACATCCTGTGAAACTCAAAAATTGCTTAAAAATGTATCGAAACATATTTTGGAACACTGTATATGCATTTCAAATTATTTGCATAATTGATAACGGTATAATAAACATAATTTGCAATAAAATAAATAAAAAAATTGGCTCTTACCGATAAAAACACAAAAAATTGTAAAATATATGTAGACGAATTCATGTTGTCTTTGGTTGTAAACTCGAATAATAAATGAAGTTAGAATATACCTGTATTAAATTTAAAAAAATGTTTTATTATAGAAATAGAGGCATCAGCATTTTCAATGAACATGAGAATAAACAAATCAAATAAATATTCAGGTAAGTATGTCAATAAAAAGTACGTTTCAGTGTTTTAAAGGAAATTTTATTGCACCACATATTTCTTAAAAGTTTTATTTTTAAAACGATATAAAGTATAATATTAAGTAGGAGAATAGGTATACAGGATATAACAAAAAGATGTACAGTAAATTCAACCACAGTTTCTAGGATCGAAAATAAGTCGATTTAACTTGCTTACAAAAAAAAATTGATAGTAAAAAATTACAGGGCGTTATAGCAGAAATGTAAGAAGTAATTTTGTGCTCTTATTCTAAAACGACTTAAATGTACATGGGATCAGTGGCGTAGCCAGGTAGGGGCCAAAGGGGGCGTCCCCCCCCGCCTTCTTGCTAGGCGCTCCTTGCTGCTAGGCCCTTAGTTATATAGCCGCCAAGCACACAATAAACAGTTACTTTTATAAGACCCTGTAACATTTATCGAAATTGAAAAATATTTGGTAACATATTTTTAAAAAACGAACACCGAATTTGTTTGAAATGCCTCAAATATTATTTCAAACTAAAATGTTTTATTTATTTAGCCCAAAGTTAAAGTAAAATAACTATTTTTATTTTATGAGGTCGTAAATTATAACCAATGATATTTTTATAGTATAATCGCAATCGACACGGAGTAATAAATCTGTCAGATCTAGAAATTTCAGGTGTGGGTGCCTATATTATTATTTACCGAGTACATAAAATCATCATTTAAGAATATATTTTTTTTGAATATGTATTATTGAGTATTATTTCGGTATGTAGGTACTTTACAAAATGTTAGTTGTAATTGTAATGTAAATGGTAGAGTTATCTGTTTGAGTAAATGAATAACAAGGTATACAGGGTGTACCAATAAACACTCCCAGGCCGGATATTTTGGTATGTAATAGAGATATTTTACTTCTTTAAAAGCCAGTTCATAGAGCGCTAAGAGAGCTTCAGTTTTAGGTATAAATTAATTTTAAATAGGTCAATTTGTAGATGGCGCTGCACTCAATATTTTTTTTCGATGGAACGATCTTGTAAAAAAATACATTTTTAAGCAGATTTTGTTTTATAAACTAATTCGATAAATCTAGCCATTTTTGATATACAGAGTGGGTCACTCAAAACAGTTTCATCCTGTTTTTCGGCATTAATCATTGGATTTTAGGAAAATGCTAAAATTATTCTAAATTAAACATATTTTTACAATACAGACATCAGTCATATGTTAACCCCCTCCCTTCCACTTCTCCAATCCCAAGGAATGTACCATGTACGGTACATCATTAAAAAGGTAATTTTAGGAGAAAGTCAGAAATATGACTGTTTATTGCGATACTTTTAATTTTAGCGCCCTCTATCGGGATAAAAAATCTGCAACGTATTATAAAGTGTAACACTTCATTTGAAAGCTAATTTAAATACTAATTCAATGCACCACATAACATTAATATATTTTCATATTGCACTTGCAACAAAATAAAGTTAGCACCAATGTTAAAAATAATGCATGACTAATTTTCAAACTATTGCAAGTGCTATATAGAGGATATTTTATGTGGTGCATTGACTAAGCAATTAAATTTACTTTCAAATAAAGTGTTACACTTTATATTATGTACAGTTTTTTATCCCGATAGAGGGCGGTACAATTAAAAGTATCGTAATAAATAGTCATATTTCTAAATTCAACATAAAATTACCTTTTTAATGATGTACTACACATTGTAGTGTCACACTCTATAATACGTTATAGTTTTTTTATCCCGCTAGAGGGCGATACAATTTAAATAACGCTACGTACAATAATATTTCTGAATCCCCATTAAATTACCTTTTTAATGATGTGCCATATACGTGGTATATTACCTATTTAGAATTAAGGTGTTTGAGAAGTGCAAGGGAGGGGGTTGACACATAACAAATGTCTGTATTGTAAAAATGTTTTTAATTTGGAATAAAAATCGACCTGTTTTAGCATTTTCTTAAAATCCAATTATTAATGCTGAAAAACAGGATGAAACTGTTTTGAGTGACCCACTCTGTGTATTAAAAATGGCTAGATTTATCGAATTAGTTCATAAAATAAAATCTGCTTAAAAATGTATTTTTTACAAGATACGCTACACAAGAAAGATCCTCCCATTGAGCGCAGCGCCATCTACATATTGACTTATTTAAAATCAATTTATATCTAAAACTGAAGCTCTCTTAGTGCTCTGTGAACTGGATTTTACAGAATTAAAATATATCTACTACTGATTAGATTTCAAAGATAATTGTTGTAATTAATACCACAAGATGGTTTTCATGAATCTCATTTCAGAGATAATTTTGTAAAGTAAACTACCACATGTTCTTAGTCAATCCCTCTACTTTTCGTTTGCATTTACATTTATATTATCACAGAATAAACAATATACAATAACAATTAATATTATTTAATTATTTAAATGTACATTAGAAAAATATTTTTATTCCAATTTCAGTCTCTCTAGTTCAATGTTTTGAAAATAATTTTGAAATAAGTCAGCATTTTTATTATTATAATTTACACATCGAACTAGATACGAAATTGGAACGTGTTTATTATTAATTGCATATGAAATTAACCATTTTAATTCAATAAATAATTAATTTCATATACAGGATGTTAATTTAATTGGCGAATATAAAGAAAAATGTTCAAATCTGAACATACTGGCGACTCTCATCTTAAGTTACGAGGATTTTCGTTCCTGACTCTGGAATTCGATCATCTCTGCGTGGTTTGGCGGTGCTGTTGGACCAGGGCAGAGATGGTAGTAGATCTTTTTTTTTTTTTTTTTTTTTTTTCAATTCAAAAAATCAAAAGCAATGCTAAAGGAGCAGATGGTATTACTTTACAAATGCTTAAACTATGTTTTCCAGTTATAGGTGACTCATACTATTAACTGTTGTCTTGAGATAGGATTCTTTCCTAATTCTTGGAAAGAAGCTTTAGTGTCGCCACTTTCTAAAGTATCCAATCCTGAATCATGCAATGATCTACGTCCTATCAGCTTATTATGTATACTTTCAAAAATATTAGAAAAAGTTGTCTATCTTCAGTTAAATGATTACGTAAACAGTTCCAAATTGATAGTTGGTGATCAATCCGGATTCAGAAGTGGTCATAGTACAGTAACAGCCCTAACAAGAGTTTGTGATGACATTATCGGTTCATTTGATAAAAATATGTCAACTGTATTAGTTCTTTTAGATTTTAGTAAAGCTTTTGATACGATTAATCACAAACTTCTTATATCTAAATGCAAATATCTTGGATTTGATAATGTGGCTCTTAATTTCTTCAAATGCTACCTTACAGACCGAAAACAGAGAGTCGTTATTGGTGGTAAATGTTCCAAATTAAAATCTATTTGCTCTGGCGTCCCACAGGGCTCTATGCTAGGACCCCTTCTCTTCCTATTATACACGTTTGATATGACTAAATATTTACAATTTTGCAAAAAACAGTTATTTGCAGACGACACTCAATTATATTTTCATTTTAATCCTTCCGAATATGAAATAGCTAATGTCCGCATAAATCAAGATTTGCATAAAATAAGCGAATATGTGAAAGGGCATGGTTTGAAATTAAATGCTAAAAAATCAAAATCTTTGTTGTTTTCTCCAAAAATATATAAGAATATGCTTAAATCGGACATGCAGATTAGGGTAAATGGTGAACAAATAAAATTTTCTCCATGTGAAAAGAATTTGGGTTTGTATTTAGATGAAAATTTAAAATTTGTTGAACATGTTTCTCAAGTGTCAAAAAATTGTTATTTTCGTCTAAGACTCTTATATGCAAGTAAACAATATTTAACATTTAACATGAAAAAAAACCTATGTGAAAGCTTGGTAATCTCTAAAATAACATACTGCATCTCTGTATACTATCCTTGTCTCGACAGGGCTACTGCAAACCGTTTACAAAAAATACAAAATTCGTGTTGTCGGCTTGTTTGTAACAAAAGAAAATATGACCACATATCACCTTACATTATTTCATTAAAATGGTTGAAAATGGATTCTTTGTTCAAATTTCTTTTCTTATTATTTTTAAGCAATTTATTAAAAGCTAATTCACCATTATATTTAAGAGAACGGATTACGTATAGGATTGACGCACATGCCTTAAATTTGCGAAATCGCCATACTATCGCCATGCCACGACATAGAACTGCCATGTTTCAACGGTCATTTAGCTATAATGTCGCTAAAGTATACAATTCACTAAATACACACTTAAAATCATATTTGAGTACTAGTTCATTTAAAATAATGTTAAAATCATATTTTCTTGGTAGCCAAGCAAATGAAAATATTTAATTCATATTCTATTTTATTTGTTTTATTTAATTCTTGTTCTTAATTTAAATTTGAATTCATCCGTAGACATTCAGCGTAATGTAGAGTAGGTTAGGTTTAAGTTAGTTTTAGGATTTGTGATATGGTTAAGTTGAATGGCCATTTTGGCTAGACTACGCCATTTATACTTTGTAAATGTTGTTTTGCTGGTATAATAAAGACGTTTATTATTATTATTATTATTATCTTTTTCTATAGGACCCATTGAACTATTAGTATAAGTAACACAATAGCGGCTGTAAGGAATTCGATATATAGTTGTGGTTCTTGATTTTCTTCCAGATTTCCTCATGTACGTCACCTTGAACGGCATTTTCTTCGGAAATTATGGAATTTAATTTATCCGTCTACAGCGTTGATGCTTCTTGGGTCTGAGTATGTAGAACTTCAATCGAATGGAAGTCCCTTGGTTGTATAGTTGTCGAATTCGCTTGATATGAGCTTCGATTTGTTTTTAAAGCATTGGTGCTTCTTGGGTTTGAGTATGTAGAACTTCAAGCGGGCGGAAGTCCCTTGGTTGTATATTTGTCGAATTCGCTTGATACGAGCTTCGATTTGTTTTTTAAGCA